GTGGGGTGCCAGAAAGTACAGCCAAGTGCTGCCCTTTCTGTGGGGTGAGGAGGTCATGACTGCATCTGTGGTGAGTGTCTCTTTGGGTATCTTCTCATGCATGATTCTGCTTTACATGTCCTTTTTTGGAGCCATGGCCAAACACCAGGAAAGTATCTCCAGTAATTTACACTGGCCTTTGCCAGGAGACAGAGTGAAGCTTCTTGGCCAAAACAACACTCAAAACCATGACTTTAGTTTCCTTGATCTCATGCAGAATGCCTAATGAAAGTTGTCTGACCTATACAATGTGTTTTGGGACACCAAAGGCACTGCAGAAGAAAGAACTTAAATGGATCAGACTAGATACATTAGCCCTGTTGGCAAAATGCCATAGGGAGCAAATCCAAATAATGGATTTCCAATGATGTTTTCATAATAGGCAGCAAAGTGCTTTATTGAGTGGTTGAGTAAATGCAACCTACCTAAAAGTTATAAATTATTATTTTTTTAAATTCTTTGAGAAATTAAAAAATTAAATTATTTTTAAATTCTGTAAGGCTACCCACACTAGCCTACAGGGAAATGTGTTTTGGGACATCTTCAGATTATTTTTATAGACATTCAAATTTTGTCTTGGAATTCATAGCATTTGTGGAACAGACAATCTCAGAATAATTTTCACAGTTCAGAGTATTGTTTATTGCATGGTAATTTATTTTTAAAGGTATTTTATAATTTTATTTTATTTTAGTAAGAACACTTAACATGAGATTTACCCTCTTAACATATTTTTAAGTTTGCAATACATATTGCTATTCTCAGGTACAATGTTATACACAAGATCTCCAGAACTCATTCATCTTGCATAACTGAGATATTGTGCTCTCTGATTAGCAGCTCTTCCTATTCAGCTCCCCCTAGTCCTTGTCAACCACCATTCTGGGTACTCTTTGCTTCTGTGAGTTTGACTGTGTTTCTTTATTTTCTTTGCAGGAATGTTTGTTCACAACCTTTGGCCATTTAACAAATTAGATTATTAGTTTTTTTACTGTTGAACTCAAGGAGTTCCTTATATATTTTGGAAGTTAACCCCTTATCAGATACATGGTNTATATATATAACCATGGCATCTGCCAATGGGTACAATTTTATTTCTTCCTTTTCAGTTTAGATGCCTTTATTTCTTTATCTTGACTAATTTGTAAGGCTAGGAGTTCCAGTAGTGTGTTGAATATAGGTGGTAAGAGTAGGCATGCTTGCCTTGTTCCCAATCTTAGTGGAAAAGCTTTCAGTTTTTTACCATCAGATATGATGTTAGCTGGGACTTTTTATATTTGGCTTTTGTTATGTTGAGTTATTTTCCTTCTATTCCTAGTTTACTGAGTGTTCTTATCATGAAAGGGTATTGAATTTTATCATATATCTACATCTATTGAAATGATCATGTGAATTTTTTTCTTTCCATCTGTTAATGTGGTATATCTTATTAATTGATTTTTGTATGTTGAGCCATCCTGACATCCTAGGAATGAATTCTACTTGGTCATGATGTAAGATCCTTTCAAGGTGCTGTTAAATTCAGTTTGCAAGTATTTTGTTGAGGTTTTTTAGATCTACATGCATCGGGGATATTGGCCTGTAGTTTCCTTTTCTTGAGGTCTCTTTGTCTGGATTTGGTATCAGGACCTCAGAAAATGAGTTTGGAAGTGTTCCATCCTCTTCAATTTTTTGGAAGAGTTTGGGAAGAATTGGCATTAATTTTTCTTTAAATGTTTGGTAGAATTCACCAGTGAAGTCATCTTGTCTTGGACTTTCCTTTATTGGGAGGTTTTTGATTGCCTATTCAATTTCCTTACTAGTTACAGGGCTGTTTAGACTTTATTTCTTCATCACTCAGTTTTGGCAGGTTGTATGCTTTTAGTAATGTATCCATTTTTTCAATGTATTTCATTTTGTTGGTGCATAACTTCATATTAGTTTCTTGTAATTCTTTTTGTATGGCATCAATTGTAATGTCACCTCTTTTATATTTGATTTTATTTATTTGAGTATTTTTTTTCTTATTTAGTCTAACTAGAGGTTTGTTTTTGTTTATCTATTTTAAAAACATAGTTCTGTTGATTTTTCCTACTGATTTTCTATTCTCTTATTTATTACTGCAATCTTTATTATTTCCTTCCTTCTACCAACTTCCAGTTTAGTTTGTTCTTTTTCTTTTTCTAGTTCTTTGAGATGTAAAGTTAGGTTGTTTATTTGAGATCTTTGTTTTTTCTATTTTTTTTTTCCTTTTTGTCTTTTTTC